TTTTTCTTTCATATTGGCTCCGAAGTTAGCACAGGTAGTTCTGGCAAGTCTGATGAGCTGAGTGCTTCTGGAGGCATAGACTTCAGCATCCCGGCAGGCAGTTTTCCTTGGACAGGTCACTGGGACATTGGGCCGTTTTGAGAACAATGCTGCGCCGCAAGTGCCGTCGGAAATGCGTGCACGAATGCACCTCAGACGCTGGTAGAGCTCCATGAGTATTCCGAGCGCGTTGCAGCGTATTGGTCTTTCGTGCTTGCAGCACCCAAGACGTATTGCCTGCGAGCAATAAAGAGCAGACCAAGACTGGTAGAGCTTTGAGAGGATGGCAAGGTATTGCCGTCCTCGAGCTAGCCTCCCGTATTGCGGCCCCAAGATCCTGCTGTAGAGAACAATTGGCCGCCGATCGATCGACCTGACATTGATGGAACAAACTGGTGCGCAGGACTTGGAGCGACAGGCTGAAGAGGTTGTTCGCAACCGGTAACTTGACGAAATATTCCATTTAACCACTCCGCAGTGAAGGGGGTAACATACGCACATTCATTCAAGAGGGCAATGTGGAAGGCAGCCACATTTTGCCAGATGTTGCAAAGAGCTGGGACGTGCAGACAACGCCTCTCTACCACAGCAGCAAGAGCCCAGCCACATTTAGACTTCAGAACTAGATCAACCGTCGCCTCTCGAAGCTTTCGCTGGAGGCAGTGCAGTGGCCCAGCCACTCAGATTGGGCTGCCGCGCCATTGGCTGCCGCGCAAGGTGCCTGCCGGCGCCGGTTCGCCAACAGGCCACAGGGCTTCTTCCTTGAACCATATCGGACATGCCAGTCCAAGATTTCAACACCGAACTCAGCCCGGCGGTCCAGATCCTGCCCAGGCCTTGGGTTCCCAAAATCCAGAAGGAACAATCTAGTCATTGCTTGAGTGTGGAGGCTCCTGTGCCCGTGCACATGCTGGCCAGGGTGTTTTTCTTTCATATTGGCTCCGAAGTTAGCGCAGGTACTGGTAAGTCTGATGAGTTGAGTGCTTGTGGAGACGTAGACTTCAGCATCCTGACAGGCAGTTTTCCTTGGACAGGTCACTGGGACATTGGACCGTTTTGAGAACAATGCTGCGCCGCAATTGCCGCCGGAAATGCGTGCACGAATGCACCTCATGCTTCGGCAGGAGCGTTGGTGGGATGTGTTCGGGAATGCTGGCAGAGGCATTACCAGGTGCCTTGCAAGCCTTGCACGAAGGCCGCACCCATGGAGCACCTTCTTGAATTTTGGCAGGGCTTTAAAGTGCAGACGAGACGCTGGTAGAGCTCGCGCGTTGCAGCGTATTGGTCTTTCGTGCTTGCAGCACCCAAGACGTATTGCCTGCGAGCAATAAAGAGCAGACCAAGACTGGTAGAGCTGTGAGAGGATGGCAAGGTATTGCCGTCCTCGAGCTAGCCTCCCGTATTGCGGCCCCAAGATCCTGCTTTAGTGAGCAATTGGCCGCCGATCGATCGACATGACATTGATGGAACAAACTGGTGCGCAGGACTTGGAGCGACAGGCTGAAGAGGTTGTTCGCAACCGGTAACTTGACGAAATATTCCATTTAACCACTCCGCAGTGAAGGGGGTAACATACGCACATTCATTCAAGAGGGCAATGTGGAAGGCAGCCACATTTTGCCAGATGTTGCAAAGAGCTGGGACGTGCAGACAACGCCTCTCTAACACAGCAGCAAGAGCCCAGCCACATTTAGACTTCAGAACTAGATCAACCGTCGCCTCTCGAAGCTTTCGCTGGAGGCAGTGCAGTGGCCCAGCCACTCAGATTGGGCTGCCGCGCCATTGGCTGCCGCGCAAGGTGCCTGCCGGCGCCGGTTCGCCAACAGGCCACAGGGCTTCTTCCTTGAGGCAGTTTTCCTTGGACAGGTCACTGGGACATTGGGCCGTTTTGAGAACAATGCTGCGCCGCAAGTGCCGTCGGAAATGCGTGCACGAACATTGCACCTTATGCTTCGGCGCGAGCGCTGGGGGGATGTGCTTTGGAATGCTGGCAGAGGCATTACCAGGTGCCTTGCAAGCCTTGCACGAAGGCTGCACCCATAGCATGTTCAAGACACGCTGGAGCACTTTCTTGAATTTTGGCAGGGCTTTAAAGTGCAGACCAGACGCTGGTAGAGCTCCATGAGTATTCCGAGCGCGTTGCAGCGTATTGGTCTTTCGTGCTTGCAGCACGCAAGACGTATTGCCTGCGAGCAATAAAGAGCAGACCAAGAATGGTAGAGCTGTGAGAGGATGGCAAGGTATTGGCGTCCTCGAGCTAGCCTCCCGTATTGCGGCCCCAAGATCCTGTCATGTTGGTCCCGAAGTTAGCGCAGGTAGGTCTGGTACGTCTGATGAGTTGAGTGCTTGTGGAGACGTAGACTTCAGCTTCCTGGCAGGCAGTTTTTCTTGGACAGGTCACTGGGACATTGGGCCGTTTTGAGAACAATGCTGCGCCGCAAGTGCCGTCGGAAATGCGTGCGCAAACATTGCGCCTCATGCTTCGGCAGGAGCGTTGGTGGGATGTGTTCTGGAATGCTGGCAAAGGCATCACCAGGTGCCTTGCAAGCCTTGCACGAAGGCCGCACCCATAGCATGTTCAAGACACGCTGGAGCACTTTCTTGAATTTTGGCAGGGCTCTAAAGTGCAGACCAGACGCTGGTAGAGCTCCATGAGTATTCCGAGCGCGTTGCAGCGTATTGGTCTTTCGTGCTTGCAGCACCCAAGACGTATTGCCTGCGAGCAATAAAGAGCAGACCAAGACTGGTAGAGCTGTGAGAGGATGGCAAGGTATTGCCGTCCTCGAGCTAGCCTCCCGTATTGCGGCCCCAAGATCCTGCTGTAGTGAACAATTGGCCGCCGATCGATCGACATGACATTGATGGAACAAACTGGCACGCAATATTCCATTTAACCACTCCGCAGTGAAGGGGGTAACATACGCAGATTCATTCAAGAGGGCAATGTGGAAGGCAGCCACATTTTGCCAGATGTTGCAAAGAGCTGGGACGTGCAGATAACGCCTCTCTAACACAGCAGCAAGAGCCCAGCCACATTTAGGCTTCAGAACTAGATCAACCGTCGCCTCTCGAAGCTTTCGCTGGAGGCAGTGCAGTGGCCCAGCCACTCAGATTGGGCTGCCGCGCCATTGGCTGCCGCGCAAGGTGCCTGCCGGCGCCGGTTCGCCAACAGGCCACAGGGCTTCTTCCTTGAACCATATCGGACATGCCAGTCCAAGATTTCAACACCGAACTCAGCCCGGCGGTCCAGATCCTGCCCAGGCCTTGGGTTCCCAAAATCCAGAAGGAACAATCTAGTCATTGCTTGAGTGTGGAGGCTCCTGTGCCCGTGCACATGCTGGTCAGGGTGTTTTTCTTTCATATTGGCTCCGAAGTTAGGGCAGGTAGGTCTGGTACGTCTGATGAGTTGAGTGCTTGTGGACACGTAGACTTCAGCATCCTGGCAGGCAGTTTTCCTTGGACAGGTCACTGGGACATTGGGCCGTTTTGAGAATGCTGCGCCGCAAGTGCCGTGGGAAATGCGTGCGCAAACATTGCACCTTATGCTTCGGCAGGAGCGTTGGTGGGATGTGTTCTGGAATGCTGGCAGAGGCATTACCAGGTGCCTTGCAAGCCTTGCACGAAGCCCGCACCCATAGCATGTTCAAGACACGCTGCTTTCTTGAATTTTGGCAGGGCTTTAAAGTGCAGACCAGACGCTGGTAGAGCTCCATGAGTATTCCGAGCGCGTTGCAGCGTATTGGTCTTTCGTGCTTGCAGCACCCAAGACGTATTGCCTGCGAGCAATAAAGAGCAGACCAAGACTGGTAGAGCTGTGAGAGGATGGCAAGGTATTGCCGTCCTCGAGCTAGCCTCCCGTATTGCGGCCCCAAGATCCTGCTGTAGTGAACAATTGGCCGCCGATCGATCGACATGACATTGATGGAACAAACTGGCGCGCAATATTCCATTTAACCACTCCGCAGTGAAGGGGGTAACATACGCACATTCATTCAAGAGGGCAATGTGGAAGGCAGCCACATTTTGCCAGATGTTGCAAAGAGCTGGGACGTGCAGATAACGCCTCTCTAACACAGCAGCAAGAGCCCAGCCACATTTAGACTTCAGAACTAGATCAACCGTCGCCTCTCGAAGCTTTCGCTGGAGGCAGTGCAGTGGCCCAGCCACTCAGATTGGGCCGCGCAAGGTGCCTGCCGGCGCCGGTTCGCCAACAGGCCACAGGGCTTCTTCCTTGAACCATATCGGACATGCCAGTCCAAGATTTCAACACCGAACTCAGCCCGGCGGTCCAGATCCTGCCCAGGCCTTGGGTTCCCAAAATCCAGAAGGAACAATCTAGTCATTGCTTGAGTGTGGAGGCTCCTGTGCCCGTGCACATGCTGGTCAGGGTGTTTTTCTTTCATATTGGCCCCGAAGTTAGCGCAGGTGGGTCTGGTACGTCTGAGTGCTTGTGGAGACGTAGACTTTAGCATCCTGACAGGCAGTTTTCCTTGGACAGGTCACTGGGACATTGGACCGTTTTGAGAACAATGCTGCGCCGCAAGTGCCGTCGGAAATGCGTGCGCAAACATTGCACCTCATGCTTCGGCAGGAGCGTTGGTGGGATGTGTTCTGGAATGCTGGCAGAGGCATTGCCAGGTGCCTTGCAAGCCTTGCACGAAGGCCGCACCCATAGCATGTTCAAGACACGCTGGAGCACTTTCTTGAATTTTTGCTGAGCTTTAAAGTGCAGGCCAGACGCTGGTAGAGCTCCATGAGTATTCCGAGCGCGTTGCAGCGTATTGGTCTTTCGTGCTTGCAGCACCCAAGACGTATTGCCTGCGAGCAATAAAGAGCAGACCAAGACTGGTAGAGCTTTGAGAGGATCGCAAAGATAATTCCGGCGATTGGCTTGGCTGACAGAGCTTGTTTGGCTGTACCAGCCAGTTCACCAATAGGCCAGAGGGCTTCAGCCTTGAACCATGTCGGAGACGCCAGTGAAAGATTTCAACACCGAACAAGGCCCGGCTCACTGGATGCTGCCTGACTTTCGGACGCTTCCGAGTCACGAACTTGTGCACTGTTCATTGTGGGCGTTCCAGATCCTGCCCAGGCCTTGGGTTCCCAAAATCCAGAAGAAACAATCTAGTCATTGCTTGAGTGCGGAGGCTCCTGTGCCCGTGCACATGCTGGCCAGGGTGTTTTTCTTTCATATTGGCTCCGAAGTTAGCGCAGGTAGTTCTGGCAAGTCTGATGAGCTGAGTGCTTCTGGAGGCATAGACTTCAGCATCCCGGCAGGCAGTTTTCCTTGGACAGGTCACTGGGACATTGGGCCGTTTTGAGAACAACGCTGCGCCGCAAGTGCCGTGGGAAATGCGTGCACGAACGTTGCACCTCATGCTGCGGCGCGAGCGCTGGGGGGGATGTGTTTTGGAATGCTGGCAGAGGCATTACCAGGTGCCTTGCAAGCCTTGCACGAAGGCCACACCCATAGCATGTTCAAGACACGCTGGAGCACTTTCTTGAATTTTGGCTGGGCTTTAAAGTGCAGACCAGACGCTGGTAGAGCTCCATGAGTATTCCGAGCGCGGTGCAGCGTATTGGTCTTTCGTGCTTGCAGCACGCAAGACGTATTGCCTGCAAGCAATAAAGAGCAGACCAAGACTGGTAGAGCTGTGAGAGGATGGCAAGGTATTGCCATCCTCGAGCTAGCCTCCCGTATTGCGGCCCCAAGATCCTGCTTTAGTGAACAATTGGCCGCCGATCGATCGACCTGACATTGATGGAACAAACTGGTTTGCAGGACTTGGAGCGACAGGCTGAAGAGGTTGTTTGCAACGGACATATTCCATTTAACCACTCCGCAGTGAAGGGGGTAACATACGCACATTCATTCAAGAGGGCAATGTGGAAGGCAGCCACATTTTGCCAGATGTTGCAAAGAGCTGGGACGTGCAGATAACGCCTCTCTAACACAGCAGCAAGAGCCCAGCCACATTTAGACTTCAGAACTAGATCAACCGTCGCCTCTCGAAGCCTTCGCTGGAGGCAGTGGCCCAGCCACTCAGATTGGGCTGCCGCGCCATTGGCTGCCGCGCAAGGTGCCTGCCGGCGCCGGTTCGCCAATAGGCCACAGGGCTTCTTCCTTGAACCATATCGGACATGCCAGTCCAAGATTTCAACCCCGAACTCAGCCCGGCGGTCCAGATCCTGCCCAGGCCTTGGGTTCCCAAAATCCAGAAGGAACAATCTAGTCATTGCTTGAGTGTGGAGGCTCCTGTGCCCGTGCACATGCTGGTCAGGGTGCTTTTCTTTCATATTGGCCCCGAAGTTAGCGCAGGTGGGTCTGGTACGTCTGAGTGCTTGTGGAGACGTAGACTTCAGCATCCTGACAGGCAGTTTTCCTTGGACAGGTCACTGGGACATTGGGCCGTTTTGAGAACAATGCTGCGCCGCAATTGCCGTCGGAAATGCGTGCACGAATGCACCTCATGCTTCGGCAGGAGCGTTGGTGGGATGTGTTCTGGAATGCTGGCAGAGGCATTGCCAGGTGCCTTGCAAGCCTTGCACGAAGGCCGCACCCATAGCATGTTCAAGACACGCTGGAGCACTTTCTTGAATTTGGGCTGGGCTTTAAAGTGCAGACCAGACGCTGGTAGAGCTCCATGAGTATTCCGAGCGCGTTGCAGCGTATTGGTCTTTCGTGCTTGCAGCACCCAAGACGTATTGCCTGCGAGCAATAAAGAGCAGACCAAGAATGGTAGAGCTGTGAGAGGATGGCAAGGTATTGCCGTCCTCGAGCTAGCCTCCCGTATTGCGGCCCCAAGATCCTGCTTTCGTGAACAATCTGCCGCCGATCGATCGACATGACATTGATGGAACAAACTGGTTTGCAGGACTTGGAGCGACAGGCTGAAGAGGTTGTTTGCAACGGACATATTCCATTTAACCACTCCGCAGTGAAGGGGGTAACATACGCACATTCATTCAAGAGGGCAATGTGGAAGGCAGCCACATTTTGCCAGATGTTGCAAAGAGCTGGGACGTGCAGATAACGCCTCTCTAACACAGCAGCAAGAGCCCAGCCACATTTAGACTTCAGAACTAGATCAACCGTCGCCTCTCGAAGCCTTCGCTGGAGGCAGTGCAGCCACTCAGATTGGGCTGCCGCGCCATTGGCTGCCGCGCAAGGTGCCTGCCGGCGCCGGTTCGCCAATAGGCCACAGGGCTTCTTCCTTGAACCATATCGGACATGCCAGTCCAAGATTTCAACCCCGAACTCAGCCCGGCGGTCCAGATCCTGCCCAGGCCTTGGGTTCCCAAAATCCAGAAGAAACAATCTAGTCATTGCTTGAGTGTGGAGGCTCCTGTGCCCGTGGACATGCTGGCCAGGGTGTTTTTCTTTCATATTGGCCCGGTCTGGTACGTCTGATGAGAAGTGCTTGTGGAGACGTAGACTTCAGCATCCTGACAGGCAGTTTTCCTTGGACAGGTCACTGGGACGCTGCGCCGCAAGTGCCGTCGGAAATGCGTGCGCAAACATTGCACCTCATGCTTCGGCAGGAGCGTTGGTGGGATGTGTTCTGGAATGCTGGCAGAGGCATTGCCAGGTGCCTTGCAAGCCTTGCACGAAGGCCGCACCCATAGCATGTTCAAAACACGCCGGAGCACTTTCTTGAATTTTTGCTGAGCTTTAAAGCGCAGGCCAGACGCTGGTAGAGCTCCATGAGTATTCGAGCGCGTTGCAGCGTATTGGTCTTTCGTGCTTGCAGCACCCAAGACGTATTGCCTGCGAGCAATAAAGAGCAGACCAAGACTGGTAGAGCTTTGAGAGGATGGCAAGGATAAATCCGGCGATTGTCTTGGCTGACAGAGCTTGTTTGGCTGTACCAGCCAGTTCACCAATAGGCCAGAGGGCTTCAGCCTTGAACCATGTCGGAGACGCCAGTCTAAGATTTCAATACCGAACAAGGCCCGGCTCACTGGATGCTGCCTGACTTTCGGACGCTTCCGAGTCACGAACTTGTGCACTGTTTGCTGTGGGCGGTCCAGATCCTGCCTAGGCCTTGGGTTCCCAAAATCCAGAAGAAACAATCTAGTCATTGCTTGAGTGTGGAGGCTCCTGTGCCCGTGCACATGCTGGCCAGGTTGTTTTTCTTTCATATTGTGCAGGTAGTTCTGGCAAGTCTGACGAGCTTCTGGAGGCATAGACTTCAGCATCCCGGCAGGCAGCTTTTCTCAGACAGGTCACTGGGACTTTGTGCCGTTTTGAGAACAATGCTGCGCCGCACGTGCCGTCAGAAACGCGTGCGCGAACGTGGCACCTCATGCTTCTGCACGAGCGCTGGTGGGATGTGTTTTGGAATGCTGGCAGAGGCATTGCCAGGTGCCTTGCAAGCCTTGCACGAAGGCCGCACCCATAGCATGTTCAAGACACGCCGGAGCACTTTCTTGAATTTTTGCTGAGCTTTAAAGTGCAGGCCAGACGCTGGTAGAGCTCCATGAGTATTCCGAGCGCGTTGCAGCGTATTGGTCTTTCGTGCTTGCAGCACCCAAGACGTATTGCCTGCGAGCAATAAAGAGCAGACCAAGACTGGTAGAGCTTTGAGAGGATGGCAAGGATAAATCCGGCGATTGTCTTGGCTGACAGAGCTTGTTTGGCTGTACCAGCCAGTTCACCAATAGGCCAGAGGGCTTCAGCCTTGAACCATGTCGGAGACGCCAGTCTAAGATTTCAATACCGAACAAGGCCCGGCTCACTGGATGCTGCCTGACTTTCGGACGCTTCCGAGTCACGAACTTGTGCACTGTTTGCTGTGGGCGGTCCAGATCCTGCCTAGGCCTTGGGTTCCCAAAATCCAGAAGAAACAATCTAGTCATTGCTTGAGTGTGGAGGCTCCTGTGCCCGTGCACATGCTGGCCAGGTTGTTTTTCTTTCATATTGTGCAGGTAGTTCTGGCAAGTCTGACGAGCTTCTGGAGGCATAGACTTCAGCATCCCGGCATTCAGCATCCCGGCAGGCAGCTTTTCTCAGACAGGTCACTGGGACTTTGTGCCGTTTTGAGAACAATGCTGCGCCGCACGTGCCGTCAGAAACGCGTGCGCGAACGTGGCACCTCATGCTTCTGCACGAGCGCTGGTGGGATGTGTTTTGGAATGCTGGCAGAGGCATTGCCAGGTGCCTCGCAAACTTTGCGCGAGTGCGCTGCACCCATAGCATGTGAAGACGCGCCAGAGCACGTTGTATAATTTTGGCTGAGCTTTAAAGTGAAGGCCAGACGCTGGTAAAGCTCCATGAATCCCAAGCGCGTTGCAGCGTATTGGTCTTGCGTGCTAGCAGCATCCAGCAACAGGGAATCAGTAGGTTACGCCTTCCCCGCAACTTCTTGAAAGCATTATCTCCTTGACTCTTGTTTGCATCTTTGCACCGTTTCATTTCCCTTTTTACGCTCTGATTTCCAAGGCGAATCGGCCTTTGTCTAGCATTCCGTTGTGTCCAGCGAGAGGTGAATGTGTCAGCACTCTCTGAGTGCGGCTCCAACGTCGTACCACATATTTGTTCTCGGCTCCGTGTGCATCATGTTCATGTTTGGGCTTTCTTAGCTCGGACCTTACTTTGTGCGGGGCGGTAACCTTGGACGTGCGGCGCAGTGTGGTGCACGCCAAAGCTTCGTGTGCCCTCTGTGTTTGTACTTCTTACCCCTCGTGAGATACCAGACGCTCACGTGTACCGCTTCGCGGAGGTTCTGGGTTGGCGAAGCAAAATTGCGGAGAGCCTGAGCATTCTGTGCTTGATGAGTTGTCCGCCAGGTGCGATCAGAGCCAGACGTAAGCTCTAGCATCTGGGCCACTTGCAAGTCGCCCAAGTCGGCTTGTGCGTTCTAACTGGCAACTGTTAGCTGTTCTATTCTTGCAGCTGCTGGCACAGGCTAGCCTTTCTGAATGTCCCTAGTCCAAAGATGATTTACGCCTTAGAGGCATGTTGGCTTGCCGATGGCCCGGCCATTGGTTTATCGCTCCGCTGCAGGGTACGAAACCTGGGCATGTGCAAAGTTTTGCCGTTTCAGCGGCCGCATTGGGTCCTACATACCCGGCATATTCGGTGCAGTTTGAATCATGCGCTTTCAACATTTGGAGGCAGCGTGTCGGCTATCACTGCCCCAACCTGAAGTGATGCAGGGGTTTGAAAGACAGAATGAGACCCCAAGCCCAGCAAACCCGCAGCATGCAGGTGTGAGCCGGAGCTACTGAAGGATGACCTTGTTTGCGATCAGTGCAGTGGCGCTGAACATTGTAGCAGCTCCTATGACCTGGTGTGTTCAGAGCCAGACGCTCTGGTATC